ATTATATTGTAAAATACATTTTTATTTCAGGAAGAAGTGTTTTTAACCGAGTCGAAAGGAGAATAGCCCAACTAAGCCGGAAATTGTCTGGGTTGATTTTGCCACACGACATGTTTGGAAGCCATTTGGATAACCAAGGCAGAACCACAGACTTCGACTTAGAGGAAAAAAATTTTGAATTCGCTGGGAGAACATTGGCCAAAGTTTGGGGCAACATGGTTCTCGATGACTTTCCTGTGACTGCCAAATATTGTTTTCCTAACGAAGAAGAGGCAGAACTGGATGGCATAGATCAGTACTGGTATCAAGAACATGTTCGTGAGAGTCAATGCTTTCTTTAGATTGTGAAATGCCGTTCTGAAGAATGTTGTGGAGAATTTAGAAGTGGATTACTTCAAATTCTATTCTACGTGTTGTTCAGGGTGTCTCTGAAATAATGGTTTCCGAGAACAATGAGAAGTGAAATTTTCTGGACCTATTACAACGCAGAGCTCTCGTGATATCAATAAATAAACACAACAAATATTTGCAGGTAAGCTTTATCCCCATTTTATATATTGAATGTGCTAATATCACTCTCCCCTCTTTAACTCCAGATTCCCTACGACTTCAATTGTCCGTCGGTACAAAGCCAACTTCAAAAGCGCATATGCAAAACGTGTGGGTTGTATTTTGCATCACAAAAATCAGCTACTCGGCACGCAATAATTCACAAAAATGTAGATGTAACCTTCGATAAAAAATCAAAGAAACCCCTTTTCCGTGTGGCTGGACGGCGAAAGGGAGAATGCCTAGTAGTTCAGTCATTTGAAGGATGCGAAGACCTCGAATGGCTTGACGAAGACTATGTGGACGACGAAGACGAAGATGATACCTGCGGAGATAAACAGATTTTGACAAGCCAACTTCCAGTAATTAACAATATTAAAGATTGGCTGGAATCTCCTTTTGAAAATATAGATTAAAAGAGCAAATTTGCATATTTTTTTTGTGATTACGTAATCTTTGTGGGGGGAGGGAGGCTGTTCATTCAATGATTACTTTTGATTACTAGGGGGGGAGGGGGTCAAAAATCCCAGAAAACATGATTACGTAATGTATGGACAGCCCCTAAAACGACTCCAATAAACGCAAAACAAACATGTGCAAAATTTCAGTGTGACCGAAACTTGCTAACGATCGTTATAGGGGCAGTTGTTTCACATCTGAGGATTTTCAGAAATTTCTCGAAGAATATAATGTTAAGCACGTAAGAATAGCAACAGGGTCACCTCAAGCTAATGGGCAGGTGGTAAGAATTAATCGAATATTAGGACCGATGATAGCGAAATTGGCAGACTCAGAAAAGGGATTGCATTGGGATACAGTTATTGAGGATGTTGAGTTTTCGTTGAACAATACAAAGCAGAGAAGCATTGCGCAAATGCCGAGCAAAATGTTATTTGGAATTGCACAAAAGGAAAAATTATAGATGAATTAAGGCAAAAGTTAGAAGAATTAGATAATACTGATAATGTTAGGAATTTGGACGAAAATAGGAAAAAAAGGAACAGAGTGTCAAACAAAGTTGCAGAAAGACAATGAACGAAATTACAATGAGAAAAAGAAAGCGAGTTCAAAATACAAGGTAGGTGATTATATTGTAGTTAAGAATTTTAATTGTACTGTAGGGTTAATTGTACATAAGGGTTCATTTGTAATAGACAAAATCTTAGGAAATGATAGGTATTTAATTAAAGATGTTGAAGGTTTTCAATTGTCACGTATTCCATATCAAGGTGTTTGATTCTGTTGTCAGAACATTAAACATTGGATAGGTAAACAAAGATGAAGCTCAAATATTATGTAAACTTTTGTAAATAAATAATTAGTAGTATCTAAGTCAAACAGTTGTACGAATCAATTGTAAAATATCACAAGATCAGGGGATCTTTAAATGTCAGGACGGCCGAATTGTAGCAGGATTGCTACTTAGGGTATATATATATTAGCTATAATTATAATTGTTGTTATAGTTATTATTATTATTATTTCCAAGATTTACGTATCTTGTATAGGAGACCTTCGATCCAGACGGTGTCAAACGCCTTTTCAAAATCCAGTCCGCAAGCAATGGTTGCTTTGCGGTGATGTATGTTGCCATATATGAAGCTGTTGGCCGCAAGGAGTGCATGGTTAGTACTACTAAATTTGCGGAAGCCAAATTGATTATTCTTTAATATATTATTATTATTTACATGATTATTAATTGATTTGAGTATTATAGATTCAAATAGCATCACTAAAGCTGACAATATGGCAATGGGTCGATAATTTTTTAGTTGTGTCAGATCGGTTTTTTTAATTAGAAAGTTGCTTGTTTGGTTGGGACCCATGGTTTTTTTATTATTTTTAGTTTTGATTATCTCGAAAAGTTCATTTGCTGTGGTGAAGTCATTCACCATCAGCTGTCTGATTATTATAAAAGTTGATTATATTGGTTGATGTTTCTTTTAGATTTATTTAACCCTAGACGGTCATGCTTATTTTTCCTACGTTAAGGTTATGCTTCGTCGAATCGACGACGCCAATTTTAAAATAAGTATAATTGATAAAAAACAAACAATATTGTAAAAAATTTTTTTACTGCGTTTTATTCATAACGTTATCAGTTCAAAATAAGAAATAACAATTCATTTTTACATTAATAATACACTTAAAAACTAAAAAATAATAAACAACCTTTTTTTCATGTTTTTTTTTTGGGCCTTGTTTCTTTGGCCAAATTAGATAACAAAAATCACAAGTAGTTTCTTTACTTCAGTCGAATCTTAATATTAAGGCTTAAAACTAAACAAAAATGTGAATCAAGATGTTGGAAATTATTTTTTTACACAAGAGGCACACAGATCAAATTTGTGTTCTCCACAAAGGCGTTTTTGGCATTTCGAACAAATGGTTTTGGTCATACGACGTTTTGCGGAAGGACAAAAAGCGCAGATCTTTCTTTTTGCATTTAAATTAGATTGGTTTTCATTATTGTTTTCATTTTTATCAATTAAGCCGCTTGAGATATTTTCCCGAGCTAAATTGGGCAATGTAACTCGGCTTAGCCTATTCATTAACTGTTTTTGAATGAGGCTTGAGTGTAGGCTTTTCATATAATTTCTACGGCTTAGTGGTTTACTACCCGACTCTAACATGTTATGGGAATAAATAACAAAACTGTTAATAAAAGCCATATTTAACATTCCAAAAAAGGTGGCCATTGGCCAGCGGTTGGTTTTTCGAGCGCAGCTCATGACGCTACACATTTGGTCAAAGGTGTCTACACCCCCCTTAGTGGAATTGTAGAACTCGACCATATGGGGCTTTTTAGTGTCGTCATTTATAGTTCCATTTTCATTAAATGACGACAACAAGAAAATGACTTTATGTGGTTTCGGCTTATAAGACAATAAAGTCAGTTCATTATCGTAAACGAACATTGAAGTACCGACTTTGCGCCCTTTGTCGTTTTTCAACTCTGGTGGTATCTCTCTTTTATTTGAGCGTAGGGTTCCTACAAGTGTTAATTTATATGGGCTCTTCAGTAAAGATTTGGCTAATGCAACTGATGTAAACCAATTATCCATTGTTACATTGCGGTTTGTACCATGTATAGTTTTAGTTAAATCTTTAACATAGCTTTCAGCTATCGGAGCATTGGAATCGGTCGATCCTTTACCTAAGTAAGGTTTGGCATCAACCATATATTTAGTTCCACTGTCGCACATCATTACAAGTTTTAAGCCGTATTTTTACCTAAGTAAGGTTTGGCATCAACCATATATTTAGTTCCACTGTCGCACATCATTACAAGTTTTAAGCCGTATTTGGCTGGCTTATTCGGAATGTACATTTTAAATCCACATCGACCTCTAAAAGCTAATAGCTGCTCGTCAATGGTGAGATATGGACCAGGAGTATAATTATCACGACACTTTTGAATAAACATTTCCCAAACTTTTCTGATAGGGGCAAACTTGTCGTGGATAAGCTGAATCCTAATAGATTTGTCATCAAATCGTAAGCAAGACATCAAAAATTTGAACCTTGATTTTGTCATAGTTGAAAGGTATTTTGAACCGCAGAATGCTGTATTAAACAACTCATCACAGGTAAGGTGATTATCTTTCATAGCAGCTGTGAGTGTTAGAATACCAATAACAGCATAAATTTCTGTAGAGGATGTTGATTTTGTTTGCAAAATGTCGTTGCCGTCGTGCTGCCTATGTTGAATTTCAGCGTTTGTCCACATAACTATTTCTTCCACTATTTCCGGCGTTATAAAGTGCTGAAATATATCCAGTGGATCCTTTAAGCTTTTACAGTTTCTTGTCGGTCCGCGACGTTGATGGATAATGGATTGCCCGTATTTATGGGATTTTGACTTTTGAGTTGCCCACTTATGACGATCCTTTCCGCGAAGACCAGTTTTAGAAAAAGTAATAATACTGGACTTATTAAACAACACATTTAATGGTGTGTTTTCGTCATCTGAAGAGTCTTCTGAAGAACTTGGTTCCTCAACTAATTCGCCCAAAATTGGATGATCTTCACCAGAATCTTCAATATCCACATCGGATTCGTCCTCTTCAAGAAGGTTTGCAATCGCAATCTCGTCTAAACCATTGCCTCTATTCATTTTCTAGGCCAATTTTCTGCAGAAAAATATATGCAATATTACCAAAAAGTCACACTAAAGACATGCTTCGTCGTTTCGACGACGCTAATTCTCAGAAATGATACTTACATGCGACCGACGGATTTGTACGTTTGCACACAGCTGCGTCTAAGCATCGACAACAGCTGTACGAAAAACGAGGAAAAAGAATCAAAAAAATACTGGAATAATCGAACAAATGTGACCATGCGTCGTCGAATCGACGAAGCATGACCGTCTAGGGTTAAGGTGGTTAAGTGTGTTACGGCTACCAACAACGGGAACGAAGCGCGAATTAATATTGCGTTTGGATAAAATGTCAACGGAAACTTGTAATTATCGGGAATCAATTAGGAATCAAGACGAAGACGGCGATGGAAACAACGATGAAGACGTATATGAAGAGGAACTGGAATTAGAAAGCCAAGAAAATGACAACGATAATGGCGACGAAGACGGAGGCCACAACAACGACAAAGCTGGAGTCGAAGGAAACGAAAAAGACAGAGGTGAAGGAAACGACAAACATGGAGGTGAAACTAAAAGAAAAGATGGCGATAAAAATGAAAGCAAAGTTGGCGGTGATCGAAGCAGAAAAGACGGAGGCAAAAGGAACAGCAAAGACAAAGATGGCGGTGAAAACAACAACAGCGACGGCGGCAGAAACAACGACCACGAGTGATTTTTCGGGCGAAACTTGCGCACGAAAATGGATTAAGCAAATTAATAATATTGCAACCATTTATGGAATTAGTGGACAATACGTTAAGATATTGATGATCAGTAAAATCAAAGGAAAGGCAAACGTGTGGCTACATGCCAGTGTTGCCGTCAGCATGTTAAAGAAAAAGGCTAGATTGATTATAAAAAAAGGATAGAAAAGGACAAAAATTAAAAAAAACGGACAAAAAACAAGACAAAATATTTTTTCCATAAATTTTATGTAATATCACTCTTAAATGGTGGCCAAATCGTTTAGAACATCGTCAATGTCATCATTGCAAGCTTCTAAACTTTGATTTTCTGTAGATTGGTTGCTTCCAATCATTTTTGATTGTTGCTTAGGAATTTCATATTCATGGCAACACATACGCCTTTCTTGCGTAGCCCAAACCTAAAAAAGAAAAAAACAATTTAAATAAATTTGTGAAACAAAAGAGTATTAAAATATTTATCTGATCGATAAAATCGTATTTAAAGTTTCTATTTGCAGTTGGTTGCGCAATTTGGGTTTTACCAAATTAGCTTGGCTAATAACACGCTGAACTTCTGCATTTGCACGACACATCCACGGCACCAGATACGGTGGATTTAGCCATGAATCACGAAACTTTTGCTTGTAAATTTCTTTTGGCATCTTTCCCGCCCAAATTTCACAATAAAAGTAACAATTTTATTATTCGATACATACGATATACGATTACAACAGGGTTGCATTAATTATCAAGTGCTGCTATTGATATAAAAGTAATGTACATTTGGATTACTTTTCAGCACTTTACACAAAAATAAAAAGCAGATAAAAAGGCCAGGCCAAAATAAAAAAAGGACAGATAAAAGGCTAGGGGATGTTTTAAATTCTTTCCGGCTGACGCAGTTAAAAACCGGACAGATCTGTCCGGAAAAAGGATAAAACGGCAACACTGCTACATGCGAACCCTGAGCGCATCATGCTACCGCTGGAGGAGTTAACCGGTGAGCTAATTTCAATGTTATCGGACAAAGTTTCGAGGTTAGAGGCAAGGCATAAATTCGAGAACCGGAAATGGAGTTCCGGTAAAAGTTTTGGAAGTTACGTGGACGATAAAGTGATGCTTGGTCAGAAAATCAACATAGATGCAGAAGAGATGATAAGTCGCATCATTGAAGGAATTCCTAATCAAGGGCTGCGTAATCAAGCACATATTCAATGCTTCGAAAACGTGGCACACATCAAACGTGCATTTGCAGAAGTGAAGTTGCCTAAATCTTATGGTGACGAAAAGGAGGCAGCAGCGAACAAGGACGAGAAGGACAGCAAGGACACGCGTTGCTATAATTGCAATGCTAAAGGACATTGGGCGAAGTAGTGAAGGAAGCCAAGACGAGAGAAAGGATCGTGCTATGCATGTGGCGAAATGGGACACTTGCCTGAAAAACAAAATTAAGAGTGAGGTCAGGAACAATTATGTAAGGTATTTTGAAATTTACTTTAAGAATAATACTAGTACTACACAAGTCGGCAAAAGTATTTAGACAAGAAAATTTCACCATAACTTTGTAACTTTTTAAATATTTAAAGAAAAAATGTTCAATAATTATGGTATTTAGTTATAGTATATTACTTTAATTTAATAATAAACAAGAAAGGAATGCTAACTTCGGGCGGAGCCGAAGTTTATATACCCTTGCAGTTTAAACCGGATATATATCGCAAACATCGGATATAGTTGGCCGATCCTTATGGGAATATGAATATATTATCCAATTTATTACAATACAAAATCTAAAAAAAAGTCTCAAGCTATCTTCAAAAGTCTCAAGCTATCTTCTATCTTAAAAAATACCAAAGTTGGTATTTCTACCAAAAACCATTTCCGATCGTTTAGTTATATGGCAGCTATAAGATATAGTCGGCCGATCGTAATGAAATTTGGTAGGTCGGATTAACTGACCACGAATATAATCTGTACCAAGTTCCAGCTTTCTATCTTCAAAAACACGAAAGTTGGGTCATTTCCGATAGTTCTATAGTTATATGACAGCTATAGGATATAGTCGGCCGATCCTTACGAAATTTGGCATGTATTTTTTTGCCAAAAATAGCGCTCGTGTAAAATTTGAACTCTCTAACTTTAAAAACACCGAAGTTATACCATTTCCGATCAATCAGTTATATGGCAGCTATAGGATATAGTCGGCCGATCCCGGCCGTTCCGACTTATATACTGCGTGCAAAGGAAAGAAGGGTGTGTGCAAAGTTTCAAGACGATAGCTTTAAAACTGAGAGACTAGTTTGCGTAGAAACAGACAGACGGACAGACAGACAGACGGACAGACAGATAAACACCATTCTACCAGCTCCACTTGCAGCTACACACCTCCAAACCATGACATTCCCTCCTCCATGCTTCACAGTGGGTAATTATAATTTTGTCCAAAAGTGTGCAACGCAGTGAAGGAGACATCTCCGACCCTATAAAGTATATATATTCTTGATCAGGATCACCTCCTGAGTTGATATGAGCATGTCCGTCTGTCCGTCTGTCCGTCTGTCCGTCTGTCTGTCTGTCCGTCTGTCTGTTTCTACGCAAACTAGTCTCTCAGTTTTAAAGCTATCGTCTTGAAACTTTGCACACACCCTTCTTTCCTTTGCACGCAGTATATAAGTCGGAACGGCCCGGATCGGCCGACTATATCATATAGCTGCCATATAACTGATTGATCGGAAATGGTATAACTTTGGTGTTTTTAGAGTTAGAGAGTTCAAATTTGACATGAGAGCTATTTTTGGCAAAATAATACGACATGCCAAATTTTATAAGGATCGGCCGACTATATCTTATAGCTGCCATATAACTGAACGATCGGAAATGACCCAACTTTCGTGTTTTTGAAGATAGGAAGCTGAAACTTAATACAGATTATATTTTTGGCCAGATGATTCAACCTACCAAATTTCATTAGGATCGGCCGACTATATCCTATAGCTGCCATATAACTGAACGATCGGAAATGACCCAACTTTCGTGTTTTTGAAGATAGAAGTTTGGGATATTTTTAGGTTTGGTTTTTGTATTATAATAAATTGGGTAATATTATCATATTCTCATAAGGATCGGCCAACTATATCCGATGTTTGCAATATATATCCGGTTTTAACTGCAAGGGTATATAAACTTCGGCTCCGCCCGAAGTTAGCTTTCCTTTCTCGTTTTTGGTTGCTTTTGTTTTTTTTTTGATTCTTAATCATTTTTTCTCAACGGGGGGAGCCTTGAGAGCCAGAGGAGCCATGGGCTTGCCCATCTATGATTTAATATATATATGTATATAATATATATTGTGAGGAGAATTAGTCTCCTTACACGCTAAGACAGATAACCGAGTGGGGCCAAGGAGGGCCGAGGAGGCGCGAGAGCGGCGACAGGGCGCGAGCAGCACCGGCCAATCATTAGGTGGCCGCAGGAGATAGGCCGAGGACCAATACGAGCGGGGAGGGGTAGGGTTCCACCATCGAGTGCAAAGACGGAATCAACGTGGAACGTAACGGTTCCCGGAGCAGCAGCAGACGAATAGAAGGGCAAGGTTTCATCGCCCAGTGGGAAGACGGAAACAACGTGGAACGTAACGGTTCCCGGAGCACCAGTGAACGAATGGAAAGTCAGTGAGGGCGGTGAGGGGCAGAGCTCCATCATCGAGTGGGAAGACGGAGTCAACGTGGAACGTAACGGTTCCGGGAGGGGGCGGTGAGGGGCAGAGCTCCATCATCGAGTGGGAAGACGGAGTCAACGTGGAACGTAACGGTTCCCGGAGCACCAGTGAACGGATGGAATGTCAGTGAGGGCGGTGAGGGGCAGAGCTCCATCATCGAGTGGGAAGACGGAGTCAACGTGGAACGTAACGGTTCCGGGAGGGGGCGGTGAGGGGCAGAGCTCCATCATCGAGTGGGAAGACGAAGTCAACGTGGAACGTAACGGTTCCACGGTAACGGTGATGGTGGTGGCTGTGGCGATTGTGATAGTGATAATGATGTAAATTGTTGGTTTTAATCTTTTTGCCAATGGAAAATGATTATTATCTCAGTCATTGGTGTATCTTTATACCATTGCAGAGGGTATTATAATTTTGTCCAAAAGTGTGCAACGCAGTGAAGGAGACATCTCCGACCCTATAAAGTATATATATTCTTGATCAGGATCACCTCCTGAGTTGATATGAGCATGTCCGTCTGTCCGTCTGTCTGTCCGTCTGTCTGTCTGTCCGTTTCTACGCGAACTAGTCTCTCAGTTTTGAAGCTATCGTCTTGAAACTTTGCGCACACCCTTCTTTCCTTTGCACGCAGTATATAAGTCGGAACGGCCCGGATCGGCCGACTATATCCTATAGCTGCCATATAACTGATTGATCGGAAATGGTATAACTTTGGTGTTTTTAAAGTTAAAGAGTTCAAATTTGACAAGAGAGCTATTTTTGATAAACCATTACGACATGCCAAATTTCATAAGGATCGGCCGACTATATCTTATAGCTGCCATATAACTGAACGATCGGAAATGACCCAACTTTCGTGTTTTTGAAGATAGAAAGCTGAAACTTAATACAGATTATATTTTTGGCCAGATGATCCAACCTACCAAATTTCATTAGGATCGGCCGACTATATCCTATAGCTGCCATATAACTGAACGATCCGAAATGACCCAACTTTTGTGTTTTTGAAGATAGAAAGCTGGAACTTAGTACTGATTATATTTTTGGTCAGATCATCCGACCTACCAAATTTTACAACGATCGGCCGACTATATCTTATAGCTGCCATATAACTGAACGATCGGAAATGGTTTTTGGTAGAAATACCAACTTTCGTATTTTTGAAGATAGAAGTTTGGGACTTTTTTAGATTTTTTATTTTAGTTAATTAGTTTTATTATGATGTAATCATAGGGATCGGCCAACTATATCCGATGTTTGCGATATATATCCGGTTTTAACTGCAAGGGTATATAAACTTCGGCTCCGCCCGAAGTTAGCTTTCCTTTCTTGTTGTATTTGTATTTGTATTTGTGTTTGTGCTTATGTTTATACTGGAGCTGTGCTCTTTTATATGAGTATTTTTATCAATTTTACATTTTGTATGTTCCATTACTTTTTGTTTATATTTTTCGATTTCTAAATCTAAGTCTAAATCTAATTGTAAATCTAATTCTATTGGTTTATTTAGTTGTTGCTGCTGCTGTTCTTGTTGTTGTTGTTGCTGGTGTTGCTTAATTTCATCATTTGTGACGAGTATGGTTGTGTTTGTAGTTGATGTTTTATTTTGTTAATGATGATATTGATGATATTGGCGGTGACATGCCAGTTGACACAATGAATGGTAAGGATTGTTGCTGTTCGTTCTTGATGAAGTTGCGGTTGGAGTATTAAGGACAGGTCCACAATTACCGTCCCATACGGCCCCATGTCAATATCCCGATATTTCGAATACTTGTTCAACAGCAATGGCATTTGATGAAGATGCTGTTGCTGTTTCTGTGGATATTGTTGATTTTGTTGATGATGCTGATGCTTATGCATTTGCTGGTATTGCATATATAGTTGCTGCTGTTGATACAGCGGGTTATGTTGGTTATGAAGATGTATCTGCTGCTGCTGCTGATGATATTGTTGTTGTTTCTGTTGATGCCATTGTGGATATTGCGGCTGCGGTCGCAGTGGCAATAGCAATGGCGGTGATGATGATGATAATGATGATGGTGGTGGCATCATTAATTTTTCTCGATTTTGTTGATATTGCTGCTGTTGTTGTCGCTGATGTTCATGCTGCTGCTGTTGCCGCCGCTGCAGGTGCCACCGCTGTTGTTGTTGCTGTTGCTGATGTTGTGGCGACAGCAACGATATCAGCGGCAACAGTGGCGGCGGCGACGATGATGATGATGACATTGACTTTGAAATTGATGTTGTTGTTGTCATCGTTGTTGTTGTTGTTGTTGATGTCATCTTCAGCGGCAATAACGGCAGTGGTATATTTTACTGGAATCTATGTTTGTAACTATTGTACCTTTACCTATAGTTAGTGTTGTCGAATCTATCGATTTCGCTTTTTCTACTGAGTTGGCAGGATTAATTGTCATTTTATATTCAATGTTTTTGTTTTGAATCTTATTGGTGCTAATGCGATTATTTGTATTATTTTTTTTACTATTATTTTTATTTGGCGATTTGCCTTTTTTTTTGGTTGCTTTTGTTTTTTTTTTATTCTTATTCATTTTTTCTCTCGTTCAAATGAATAGACATATATGGTTAATATTTAATATGAATAGTAATATTGAAATAAAATGATATACGATATAATAGTGATAAATGAATATATATGTATGAATATATATTAAGAATAAAGGAATAAGAATAATGATAGTACAAATATATATATATTAAGAAGAAGAAATGATATGAAATGATATGTATTTATATATTTAATACATAGATGGGCACGAAATCTAACGGTCGGAGCCGCAGCTCGACAGCGCAGCCAGACAACAAATTACAGCAACAACCACCACCCTCGCGATGGTTGTCGTCGCGTTGTGCGCAAACGCACCCTTAATAATTGTGGTCGCTGCCTGCCTCGGAATTTGTTTAGCATTGTTTTTGTAAATCTTCACGGCTCACTGACCGCGCGTCCGATCGTCTGTCTCGATTTGCTGGCGCCAAAAATTACGAATAACGGGGGGAGCCTTGAGAGCCAGAGGAGCCATGGGCTTGCCCATCTATGATTTAATATATATATGTATATAATATATATTGTGAGGAGAATTAGTCTCCTCACACGCTAAGACAGATAATCGGGTGGGGCCAAGGAGGGCCGAGAGGCGCGAGAGCGGCGACAGGGCGCGAGCAGCACCGGCCAATCATTAGGTGGCCGCAGGAGATAGGCCGAGGACCAATACGAGCGGGGAGGGGTAGGGTTCCACCATCGAGTGCAAAGACGGAATCAACGTGGAACGTAACGGTTCCCGGAGCAGCAGCAGACGAATGGAAGGGCAAGGTTTCATCGCCCAGTGGGAAGACGGAAACAACATGGAACGTAACGGTTCCCGGAGCACCAGTGAACGAGTGGAAAGTCAGTGAGGGCGGTGAGGGGCAGAGCTCCATCATCGAGTGGGAAGACGGAGTCAACGTGGAACGTAACGGTTCCCGGAGCACCAGTGAACGAATGGAAAGTCAGTGAGGGCGGTGAGGGGCAGAGCTCCATCATCGAGTGGGAAGACGGAGTCAACGTGGAACGTAACGGTTCCCGGAGCACCAGTGAACGAATGGAAAGTCAGTGAGGGCGGTGAGGGGCAGAGCTCCATCATCGAGTGGGAAGACGGAGTCAACGTGGAACGTAACGGTTCCGGGAGGGGGCGGTGAGGGGCAGAGCTCCATCATCGAGTGGGAAGACGGAGTCAACGTGGAACGTAACGGTTCCCGGAGCACCAGTGAACGAATGGAAAGTCAGTGAGGGCGGTGAGGGGCAGAGCTCCATCATCGAGTGGGAAGACGGAGTCAACGTGGAACGTAACGGTTCCGGGAGGAGGCGGTGAGGGGCAGAGCTCCATCATCGAGTGGGAAGACGGAGTCAACGTGGAACGGAACGGTTCCCGAGGCAACGGTGAGGACATGAGCCCACCGCGCAGCTGTGTTCAGAATGTGCGACAAGACTTGTAGCAGCAAAGGAGCAAGGAGCAACGAGGGAGGCGAAGGAGGCCAGCGGCACATCGCATAGCAACAGCAGGGGTCAGCGGCCGAAAGGAAAGGGGCAACGGCCGCACGGACGGCCACCTGCCAGCGGAAAAGTGGCGTGAGATTGGAAGCAGGAGTAACGGCCGCCGGCCAGCGAGAAAGTGGCGTGTTATTGGAAGCAGGAATAACGGCAGCCCGACAACAGGAAAGTGGCGTGATCTGTGAAGCAGAATCCAGGAGGATTAACGGGCGCTCCAGAGGGTATAAAAAGAGGCCCATTGGAGCGGCTCGGGACGAGTCTTTTTAGGAAGCTTGTAGCGTTGAGTTGGAGGACTGCCTGTGGAGAGTCCGCCATTCAAGTGTTAGAGCGTTTCTAAAAGGATTCGGTTGGTTTGAGTTGAAGGACCGCCTTTGGAGAGTCCAACAGCCAAACGCAAGGAGAACGAACAAGACGAGAAAGGATCTGTACTGGGACCGTTCCTTGGAAAGACCTAGGCGACAGTAGACAAGTTGGACCGGTTCCTGGCCCCGGCAGGTAGCCTTGCAAGGAAGTGAGGGAAGGATAAGTCTGGCGCACGCCACTCTGACTCCTGACTCACAACCAACAGGCGTGGTCCTGCAACGGAAAGGACAGGCCAACTCAGGAGCCCGAGCCCGGTTTGCTCCAAAAGACGCAAAGGACAGAACGAGAAAGTATCGGTGTCGGTCGGTTTCCTCGACAGCTATAGGGTATCAGAGTCGAGTTGGGCCATTCCCGGTCAAAGCAGGTAGCCTTGCAAGGAAGTGAGGAAAGAATAAGTCTGGCGCACGCCACACGGATTCCTGACTCGCAACCAACAGGCGTGGTCCGACCATAAGCCGACTCGAGAACTCGCGCTCATTTAGGAACGCGATCGGGGAAGCGCCGATCACCCACCGAGCAGCTCTTGATCTGCTGGGTATATGGGTATAGAAAAAGGAAAATGGCCGATCCACAGAGTGAGACACAAATGCAATGAATGCGGACCGGTGCGGAGAATGGAAATGAGATGAGAGTAAGCAGGCAGACAGGTGTGTAAGCGATCACTGACTCACTCACATGCCAGCACATACACATTCAGCACACACATACACTAGCACCTGTACACCGGCACTTTTCCACTTAAAAGTCTAAAATACACACACACACTGATCTGATCAAATACAATTTTTCCGTTATCTGTCCTATTGAAACTACCTTTCAATTTTTTAATTTTAGTTAATCGCTTTTCATCATCCTAATCTAATCTAATATGACACTTCACTTGATTTGCATATAGATTACTAACCAGTAAACAATTTATGAGTACCTTTGCTGCCAACGCCGCAACACCCTCACCAATACACCGACTGGTTACTAATGCTGCTGCCGCTGCTGCTGCCACACACAACACAACACAACTACGGTTCACTTGTATTCACCTCTGTCCGATCCGATCACTGCTCAAACTACTGCTCAAACATCGACCAATGACCACTGACTGCTGATTGACTACTAAGCACCGGACCAATTTTCCAATTTTTTGTTTTATTGTCGATTTATGATTCAGGTGTTTACATTGTTTCCTGCTTATTTTAGACTTAAGCTTGACAAATTCTTAAAATCTTATTCTAGTTTATGTGTACCCTGCGCTTGAAGCTTTTAAGGGCTAAGGCACTTGATGGCTTTTTAGTATAACATTATGTTGAAGTAATTAAGGTTTTATGATTTTTGTACTTATAGTGGTAGTTGTGGGAGAAAAAGAAAATGAGAAAAAACCCACATCGTATGGTGTTTGGGATGAACTTATAACTAACTTAAATTAATTAGGGACTAATAGGGGAGAGGATATATTTACATAGGATAGGATAGGATAGGAACTTAGACTAATTCAGTAATAACTAGTTAAGTAAAAGTTGAGAGTTTTTTGCGTTTTTTGATTATCATTAAGATTAGATAAGATTAAACTATGTTATTGATTGGTGTTATGTACAAGGCCGTCCAGCGGATTGAGGGATCGGTATTTCCTGTGGTAGAAAATTAGGTTATTTTCTTCATCATATAAAATCCTCTTATTTTGTAGGTCTCTTTGGTGGTGAACAGTCAGCAGCTCTGTGTTTCCTGGGGTGATGTTTTCTTGGGTTATGTTATTGGTGATTATAAAATTATTGAGGATTTTAAATATAAGTAGATCTATCCTCGTTACATTTGCTTTTTGGTAGAGAAGACTGTTATTGATGAAGTTCCTTGTTTCTTGATCTCGTTCTAGTTGGCGAAGTTTCTCCATCTGATTGCTGCTGATGTTCATCCAGGCAATGGATCCATAAATGAGAATGGGTTGTATGAGTTTTTATAGATGAGAAGTTCTTTTTGGTAACAAGGTACTTGGTTCTAGGATCACAGTTTGGGCTGGTCGTATATATTGGTTTATAAATGTGACTTAGAGTGAGTTGGAGAATATAAAGTTATTAGCGGCAAGTAGTGCATGGTTTGTTGAAGACTTGCCAGACTCCATATTGGTTATGTTTTAGAATGCTGTTCGAATTGATGTGTTTTTCAATTTGATTATAAATTATTTTTTTGAGGAGTAGGCTTATTGCTGACAGGAGTGAAATTGGTCGATATGAAGTAAGTTTCCGAGGATTTGCGCCGGGTTTAGGTATTGGGATTACTTTGCTTAGTTTCCAATCGGTTGGGAAGTAGTTATTATTTAGGCAATGATTTATGAGAATAGTAATGTGTAGTATGATTGGTATGTTGAAATTTTTTATCAGAAAGTTGCATGTCATGTCTGGCCCATGGATTTTTTTGAATGTTATCCTTTGATTGTATCCATCATTTCAATTGGGTTTGTTAGGCCATATCTGACAGCTTCTTCCCATTGGCCATCCGCTGTGCAAATATTGTTGAATTCGGTTCGGTGTGTTGTATCATTAGGGAATTCTTGGGTTGTAATGTTGTTTATTGTGGATATGTGGTTTTGGATTTCTGGGTCTGGATGAGGTGACGGATGCTGAGGCATTCTTTGGTTGCTATTTTGGGATTTAGCATTTTAAGGTATTTATTGCTGATTTTACTTGAGTGAATTTTCTTTAGCTTATGGTTTAGTTCCTTTAGTTCGCTGAGATGTATGTGATTGGTGATTTGTATGTCTATTTCTTTAATGGTTGATTTAATGTCCTTGATTTGTGCGCTGGTTAAGGTGTGCCTGTTAAACAGAATTTTCGGAGTCTCCTTTTGTTGCGCATTAGTTGAAGACATGTTTTGTTGAGTTTTATTGCTTGGTTCTTCGATTTCGTGGCTGCTTTGGGTATTACTCTGTCTGATTTTAGGCCCATTTCGACGGCAGTGGTTAGTGTTTTGATATGTTGATCTATTTCGTCTGTTGTGATGTTTCTATTTATAGGTATTGTTTCTAAGTTCCGTAATATTGTGCTGTTCCATTCAATGCTATTTATTTCAGTGAGTTTGTATTTGGATTTGGGCATTTTTTTTATGAGTCGGTTGTTGTGGAGGTTAATGGTGAGTTTTATTGCATGATGGTCGAATGGAAAGGCTGATTTTGTTAGGCTGATTTGGTATGATTTTGTTTTTGAGTGTTGAGGCGAAACTTTGTCCTTTTTGCAATTCACTGCTCTTTTTTTTTTTTGTTTAATCGTTTATTAACAAAGAAAGACTTAAAACTAAGCTCTAACAAAAAGAAAAGTGTCTACTAAATCCCTGTTCCCTGCGGTAATGCCGCTAGGCTTTGCTTAGCAAACTACAGTTTGCCTAGGTTAGCCTATCCTCCGCTCGGAGTCGCTCTAGCCTTCTCAGCTCCTTCATCATGTAGGCGGCGAAGCTGCTCAAGCCTGCCCAGAACTGGGCGTCCTCCAGCAACCTTCTTCTGATGAGGTCCGCCGTCGCCACTTCCCCAAGGAGTCTCCGCCTGGGGATCGAAAAACGTGGGGAGTCCAGGACCACATGCGCCGCCGTCTCGTCAACCCCACATTCAGGGCACCTTGGGTCGTCATCGAAATCAGGACAGCCTCCGTCTTGTGGTGGGCTAGGCTTAGCCCTACCTGTTCCAGCCAACCGATGGCGTTTGCAATTGCAGCGTTGCAGTGCACCTCTACTTCCTGTATCGTCTTGGTGACGTTGACTACCGCGATGTCATCCGCCAATCCGACTAGGTGTGTCCGTTCCGGGAGGTCGAGTCTGAGGACCCCGTCGTACATAACATTCCAAAGGGCTGGGCCTAAAACTGAGCCTTGAGGGACACCACAGGAGGCCGCATGCTCTCGGATGCCTGAGGTCGTCTCGTACCTAATAGTGCGATCACTGAGGTACGACCTTATGATCTCCACAATGCTAGTCGGCACGCGGAGATTTCGCAGCGCCTCCACTATGACATCCCACCTGGCTGTATTGAAGGCATTTTTAATGTCCAGCGTGGCGATCGGGCAGTACTCCTTACTTCCGCCCGCCCATCTGGTCCCCTCGATTGCCTTGGCTGCAATCCTCCTGACCAAGGAAATTGCGTCGACCGTGGAACGGTGTTCCCTGAACCCGTATTGTAATGGGGAGAGATCTCCCGCGCTGATTACAGCCTCCTGGAGCCTCCGGCATATGCAGCGCTCTAGGGCTTTGCCGGCATGGTCAACTGCTCTTTGGGTGGCTGTATTTTACCGTATTTTCTATTTTTTTATCAGCGGTTTGCCTTTGTTTTTTATTTTTTTCTATGTAGTTTTGCCGCATAGGGCATATTTTGGCATTGGCTGTGTGGTTTTCTTTGCAGTTACCACATTTGATGTTGGGGTTTTTCTCATTTGTGCCTTCCGCAGCCTTTATTATTTTGCACTTGCCCGGGGCATGCGGTTCAATGCACTTAACGGCATTTGGCCGTTAGTACGACATTTGGCACCTATACGGCATTTGGCAGTTGCTGGCTACGTGGCAGAAGCGTTGGCTATTTCTGCATTGTTTAATGTGGTTTGGATGCGGCTTATATTTCTCGATTAGGATTTTGCAATTAAGCAGTCTATTGAGGTCATAGATTTGTTTGATTTTTTCCGTTTTTGTTACTTGGACCATCCAGTAGACATTTTTATATTTCGTCACTGACGTTATCGCTAAATGAGGTAGAGATTCTGCCAGTGCCTCCTTAACCTCATCCTCACTGTATACATCAGTTGGTATTTTTTTTAGAATTAGTGTGTGCGGTTTTAATTGTTTTGGTGTAAAGGAGAAAAACAGTACTCCTTTTTTCGTTAATTCCTCCTTCGTGGCAAGCAGATCATCTAAGGAGTAGACTTTTATATGAATCACAATTTTGCTCACGTTAGTGAGGGTGAATTTATTAGTGAGGGTTAAAGTTTGTTTTTCAATATTTCCGTCAAAGCCTTTGAATTTTGTTCATATGTGATTATAATGGGTAGGTCCTTTAGCAATGGGTCCTTATTTGTTTGGTGTTTGGTTGTTGCAACTGGTTTTGCTTGCTGGGGTTTGATTTTTGGTAGTTCGGGGTAAGTGTTTTTCGCTGAAATTTGTTTTTGTATCACTTCCAGTTGGTGGACTGCTTTTCATATTCGGATCTTAGCGATTTCAGTTCCTCCAGAAGGGCGTTAATTTCATTTTTTTTAACTAGGACACTTTCTTCTTGTTCGTCGTCCATCTTCTCGTCGTATTCTTCGTCTTCTTCTTCATGTTCCACGTCTTGCGATGAGTCGCTAAGAATGGCTTCCTCTTCGTGTTTCCGTTTTAAAAGAGCGGAATCAGAGTCCATCATGTCGTTTCGTAGTGATTTTTCCTCCGAGGTTTCACTTCTAACTTCTCGGGGCTTGGCACTTAGTTTTTGTTTTTTCATTGTTTTATAGGGGCACTGCAACTGCGTACTTGTTTCACTTTTTGTATGCTCTTTCGGCATTCACAAGTAAACTATTCACAATGTCTCTTTGAGTTCGGAGCGATATGCTTTTCCCGCTCTTCGTAATCACAATAAACGAAATGGCATGTCGTTCTATCTCCCTCTTTTCAACCCTCGGCGATTCTGGTATATAAAGCGAAACGGGCAGCACGTTTATTGTGTTATTAGAGGCGCGAAGAGAACAGTGAATTTGGAAATTGAAATGGCTCGTACAAAGCAGACTGCTCGTAAATCGACTTGTGGCAAGGCCCCACGCAAACAACTGGCTACAAAGGCCGCACGTAAAAGTGCGCCAGCCACCGGAGGAGTAAAGAAGCCGCATCGCTATCGCCCCGGAACTGTGGCTCTCCGTGAAATCCGTCGCTACCAGAAGAGTACTGAGCTGTTGATCCGCAAACTGCCAGCGGTTGGTGCGTGAAATAGCTCAGGATTTCTAGAAAGATTTGCACTTCCAGAACTCTGCTGTGATGGCTTTGCAGGAAGCTAGCGAAGCCTATCTGGTTGGTCTGTTTGAAGATGGCTACAAGGGAGCCAGAATCAGGTTTGGTGTTGTTAATGGGTTTTGATTGCCTCATGAATTGGTAGTTGGTTAGGGAAATGTTTTTGTTTGTTTTTATTCGATGTTCGGCTAGAAGTAGCACGTCTGGTTTGTGCTTATTGAGGAAGAGATTTATTTCGGTTTGCTTTCTAGCTTTCCGATGGCGTTGACGTTTAGAAATATACATTTTAGTGGTCTCATAGTGAGATTTGTAAAATAAAGTCAAGCAATATTTGCTTTCTCATGCTTTCGGTTTTGGTTTGAGGGTATTTGGGTATCGTGTTTTCCATTATATCTATGCATGTTATTAGGTTTTTGTCAAAGGCTTTTATGGATTCGTTATTAATGTTTTCTAATGGAAGTGATGGGGTTGGTTTTGGTTCGGGTGGTTTGTTTGTGAGTAAGGAGGCAAAAGTTTTGTCTGTTTGTATTTTGTTATTGCTGGTTATGGTAACAGGTATTGTTTTTATTTTTGCATTTCGCTTATCATTAATTTTAGTTAAGAATTTTTGTCTTATAGGGCATATTTTTGCATTGGCAGTGTGGTTGCCAAGACAATTGACACATTGAGCTGGGGAGGGTTGGGGGTTATTTGGGTCTGGTTTTGGCAATTTGCACTCACCAGGTGAGTGCGTTTTTGTACATTTGACACATCTATAAGGCATGTTGCAGTTACTGGCTACGTGTGCAAATCTCTTGCATTTTCGGCATTGCTTAATGCTATTGGGGTGTGGCTTATAGCCTTCAGTGCTAATCTAAAAGTTACGGAGATCATTTATTTTGAATATTTTTCCAATATTGTTGGACTTTTGGATGTGTACTAAGTAGAAGTTATCTTTGAATAGCTTTATTAATATGATTTCTAGGTCAGGGACGGACTCTGATAGGGCTAGTTGGATTTCATTGAGCGTAAATATGTTTACGCGTAGTTTTTTTATGATTATTGAGTGGGGTTTGAATTGCTTGGGTACGTGAAGTACATAATTTTGTTTTGTGTAAGAGTATTTTTTACTTTATCCAGGTTTTCAAGGGTGAAAAGTTTTAAATGTGTAAAATTTTTATTTACCACAGATGGTTTCTCTCAGTTGTTTTTTGTCCGCATTATATAGGACAATGATGGGTAGGTTGTTTACGGTGTCCGTAGTTGAAATATGATTCGGTTGTTGTCTTCTGGTTGATTGTTGTTGTTGTCTTATGGTTTGCTGCCTTCTGGTTGGACTTCTTCATATTGCCAGGTTGGCTTATAGCTGGGTAGTTGTTATAGTTGTTGCCATTGTTGTTTTGGTTTCGATACATTGACAGTATCTGGGTGAGTTTTTTGTTTTCATTAGCAAGGGCCGTGGCTTGACCTCTTAGCTGTGCTGTTTCCACAGCACCTGTGAGGTGTCTTTGGTATTGTTAAAGATATAAGTTTGGGACTTGTTTTAAATTTTGTATTATAATAAATTGGGTTATATTATCATATTCTCATAAGGATCGGCCACTATATCCGATGTTTGCGATATATATCCGGTTTTAACTGCAAGGGTATATCAACTTTGGCTCCGGCCGAAATTAGCTTTCCTTTCTTGTTTTTGTTTTATTTTGTTAGAATCATAGAAAATGGAATTATTAAAAGAATATGTGTATTTATTTATCTATGTAGGTGTGTCTTTGTATGGCCATACTAAGTGCAATTTATGAAATAAAGATTTTTAATCTATCCTTATGAACTGTTTGTTTTTTATGTTTATTATTTGTTATTACTATGTTATCTCTATCTCCTATTTCCGTTACTATATACGGACCTGTATATTTAAGATCTAACTTATGACCTGTCTCGTTTTTTAATAAAACTTTGTCACCTACTGATATATCTATATCCCTTACTTTATGATCGTATAGTAGTTTATTTCTATTCTTATTTGCTTCTAACATAACTCTAGCTCTTTTATAGGCTACTTATAATCTATACTTACTCTCCTTAGCATAGTCATCTATATTATATAGTGCTTCTACACTATCTATGCTATTAAAATGTTTTGGCAAATTACTTGTTTTACCGAATACTAGCTCATATGGACAATATGTATGTGCCATAGAGGGGGTCGTGTTGAAACAGAAGACAAAATATTGAAGCCATGCGTCCCAATCAGTTTTATCAACCGATATTTAAGATCGTATGTATTCATTGAAAGTTCTATGACTTCTTTCTATTGTTCTAACTGTCTGGTAGAGGTGTGCTGTGGATGTAATATTTTCAATATTTAAATATTTGCAAAAATCGTCTATAATTGAATTCTTATATTCTGTTCCCATGTCCGTAATGAACGTCTTCATTGGACCGTACTTCAGGATAAAAGATTCAAATATTGCTTTAGCGACAGTATTGGCATTTTTATTCGGAACAGGTATGGCAACTAAATACTTAGTTAAATCACATATTTAAGTGACTGCATACTCATTGCCATTTTCTGATTTTGGCAGTGGACCAATAGTGTCCACTATCACTCTGTCGAAAGCAATCATTGGTGTGTCTGTAATTGTTAAAGGGGTCTTTGTGTGTTTAGTTATTTTTGATTTCTGGCATTTTTGACATTTTCTTACGTACTCAGTTATATCTTTAGACATGCTTTTCCAGTAATAGTGTCTTTTTACTTTAAGGGTTTATATACCTTTTTTATGTTTAAAAAATCGAAAATTTTTTTATTGCTTTATCTTTAAGAACAACTCCTTGAGATTATTCCCCCAAATTTTCATAGAGATTGGAGCAGTAGAACAAAAGTTACAGCGCTCCTAACCGCGCGCCTTGTCGCCGCCTTGAACTGAACTTGAAACTTTAAACGCGAATATCTCGAAATGGTGTTTCTTGAAAAATGACTTTGCGGTGACATGGATTGGCGGAAAACTACTGAACCGATTTACTTCAAATTTTTTTTTAAATGTTCGTAATGAAATTCTTCTGTGCTTGAACGATCGACTTTTCACGCACAAACTTTTTTTTCGCCGAAATGAATTTTTTAGTGAAATTTCTAGAGGCCAAAAAGTTAATTTTTAGCATAAAACGTTCCCGTATGCATGTTATCCGCCTCACCAAAAAGGTAATGTAAACATTATTTGCAAAACGCCCCCTTCTGAATGCGTCATGCCGTTTCTTATCTTGTCTCCTAATTTCCCCTCACTCGTTTCTGATGATCCCCAAAAGATTATCCAGACTAAACATCAAGCTCCACTTGTAAACATTCCCATGAAATTTTCCATGGCTTAAGCCAGACATAAACATTAGAGCCGACTCGCCGTCACCAGTCCGAATTGGTTCGATCTTCCGATCTTATCACTCTTCACGAATGACTCAACTACTGCATCAGCAAATTGTCCCTTTCTCTTAGAATCTCTTAGGGCAATTGTTTATTCTCTCCAAGTACCCTTTTGGGTTATTTCTCTTAAGCCGAGGTTTGTTGGTTATCTGGCAATTAAAAATTGGCAGTCTTATTCCGGGTGCAAACCATTCAAATACAATCGGTCTAGCCTAAGCGTTTAAATAAAGTTTGTGAACCAAATAAGAAATAATAAACAAAGTTTTAAAAAAAAAAAAATTAAAAATTATTTTTTTAAAAAGTGAACTTTGGGATAAATTTAATTTGCATATGCTGAACGTTTGCTACGATTATGCTGACACTAGCACTTTCTGTGTGCGGGCTAAGCCATAATGATCGGTTCATATTTCGGCCACTTAGGGTTTATGACCGTAGCTGTGGATAATTTTTGTGGTGTATTGGTCAAAGTTGAATTGTCTGGACATTTTGAATATTAAGCCGTTTGTACAGACTATGTCAAACGCCTTTTCGAAGTCAAGGGCACATGTGATAGTTGCACAACGGTTTTCTAGGTTATTAAATATTAGATTATTTGCAACTGCAAATGAATGGGAGGTTGAGGTATTTTCTCTGAAGCCAAATTGGTATGGTTTTAGAATATTCTGAGTTTTTAAATGTTTTTGTATTTTTCTAGTATTATTTTTTCTAAGAGTTGACTAATGGCAGAGAGTATGGAGATTGGTCTGTAGCTTTTCAAACTTTCAGGAAGGCATTTTGGTTTTTTCAATGGTATAATTTTGCTGTTTTTCCAGCTTTTTGGAAAGTAGCTATTGTTAATACAGTGATTGAATAGTTTTGTCACGTGTATTATTATGATTAGACTCAGTTTGTCAGGTCCTAAAGTTTTTTTGCTGTTCGAAAATTTAATGTGGTGTATTACATCATCTGTGTTTACAAAGTTTAAGTTATTGGCATTGGGGAAGTTACCATATAATTTATTTGGTTGGTATGTATTTGGTGTACTATATGAGAGGTGGTCATTTTGTGAGTGTATTTGTTCGAAAGACCAAGCAAGTGCATTGATTTTATGGAGGTTGTTTGTGATAGTTGGGGAAGTGTTAAAGTCTATTGCATTCATTTCTTGCTGAGTTAGTATTATATTATAGATTTTATTATTGTTTTTGATCTTTGTTAAGTTTTTTAGGCTTACTTTTTCGGGTTTGATATGTGCAAGCTTTCTCTCTATTGATAGCAGGTATATGTTTTCAAGTTGGATGTTTATTTCATCATTTATTAAATTTATTACTTCTTTTATTTGTAGTTTCTGTTGGTGGCTTAGGCTTGTTTGTCTGCGTGTGAGTTGTCTTCTAAGTTGCTTTTTTGTTTTTATGAGTATAAGGCATTGTCGTTTGGTGCAATTGTTTTTGTTGGTCTGGATGGGTCAATTATTACTTTTGGTATGGCTGCATCTGTTTCTAGTCCAGATTTAAGCGCTTTAGTCAGATTTTCAACGTGCCAGTCAATTTCATCTTGTTGTAGGTTTTTGTCATTAGGAATTTCTGGTAGGTTCATAGAGATTATTGTATTGTATATTATGGGGTCAATTTCGTTAAATTTATAAGTTATTTTTGTTTCAGCTTTTTCCATTTTATAGTTTCCTATATTAACTTTTAGTTGTATTGCATAGTGATCAGAAGGGTAGTCTTTCAGGACATTGCAAGTGGTGGTGTGGCCCGTGTTTATTTCAGTTGATGTTATAAAAAAGTCAATGGATGATTCGGTGTTATTGCTCATTCTTGTCGGTTCGTCTGGGGGATATAATTTATAGTCTGGTTTGTTTTGTATCCAGTTAAGTAGCACTTTGCCGTTGGTGTTTAGGTGCTGGGGGTTGTGGTAAGGGATGTTCCAAATCGGATTTTTTGCATTTATATCACAGCCAATAATCACCTGCGTACAGTTTGTGTTTTGGGCTATGATTTGGGTAATTTTATTTAGGTCTGAGACTAGCAGGGCGTCCGTAGGTCTTTTGTATAATGAGGCAAAAATTATTTGGTGGTTTGTATTTCTGTGGTCTCTGTAATTGAGTTTTATGGCAATTATTTCAGTGTATTGTAACTGGGGTATTTCTATTTCTTTATATTTGACGCCATTTCTGATGCAAATGGCTACGAGGGAGCCAGAATCAGGTGTGGTGTTGTTAGTGGACTTTGATTGCCTGATGAATTGATAGTTGGCTAAGGTCATGTTTTTGTTTGTTTTTATACGATGCTCAGCTAATAGTAGCACGTCTGGTTTATGCTTTTTTAGGAAGAGATCTATTTCAGCTTGTTTTCTCAGCTGTCCGATGCCGTTCACGTTTAGCAATATGGATTTTAATGGTCTCATAGTGAAATTTGTAGAATAAAATCAAGCAATATTTGCTTTCTCATGCTTTCTGTTTTTGTTTGTGGGTACTTGTGTATCGTGCTTTTCATAATATCAATACATGTTATTAAGTTTTTGCCAAAGGCTTTAACGGATTCGTTATTAAGGTTTTCTAATGTAAGTGTTGGGGTTGATTTTGGTTCAGGTTGATTGTTTGTGAGCAGGGAAGCAAACGTTTTGTTTGCTTGTATTTTGTTATTGTTGCTTGTATTGCAGGTATTGTTTTTGTTTTTGCATGTCGCTTTTCGTTGATTTTTGTTAGGAGTTTTTGTCTTATAGGACAAATTTTAGCATTGGCAGTGTGATTGCCAAGGCAATTGACACATTGAGCTAAAGAGGGCTGGGGGTTATTCGGGTCGGGTTTTGGCAGATTGCACTCACCAGGTAAGTGCGTTTTAGTGCATTTAACACATCTATAAGGCATGTTGCAGTTGCTGGCTACATGCGAGAATCGCTGGCACTTGTGGCATTGTTTAATACTGTTCGGATGTGGCTTATAGCCTTCAATATGAACCTTTCAATTTAAGAGATCATTAATTTTAAATATTTTACCAATATTGTTTGATTTTTTTATTTGTACTATGTAGTATTTATCTTTAAATGTCTTTATTGATATAATTTCTAGATCGGGGACAGAATCTTTTAGGGCTAGCTGAATTTCATTAAGTGTAAATATGTTTATGGGTAATTTTCTTATAACTATTGTATGGGGTTTAAATTGCTTGGGTGTGTACGTGAAGTACATGATTTGGTTTTGTGTAAGGTTGTTTTTAACTTTGTTTAAGTTTTCAATTGTGAAAAGTTTTAAATGTGTGACGTTTTTATTAATTAGATTAAGGCTATATTTACCACTGATGGTTTCTCGAAGTTTTTTTATATCCGCATTATATATGACAATAATGGGTAGGTTATATAATGTTTCCGTGGTTGATGTCTTCTGGTCAATTGTTGTAGTCGTCTTCTGTTTTGCTGCCTTCTGGTTGGATGTTGTTGTCGTCTTCTGGCTGGTTGGTTTCTTTATGTTGGTTGGTTGGTTTAAAGCTGGGTAGTTGTTGCTGTAGTTGCTACCATTGTTGTTGTTCCGATACATTGACAGTATCTGATTGAGTTTCTTATTTTCGTCGGCAAGGGCCGTGGCTTGACCTCTTAGCTTTGCTGTTTCTTCTAACAGACCTTTAATCTGCCTAGGTGTTAGGGCTAGGTCTTCATCATCATCATCTTCGTCTTCATAATCTTCGTCTTCGTCGTCGTCGTCGATGTCGTCAGATTCTTCGGTTGAAGTTTCTGTTTCAGATGAGGTACAACTTCTCTGTCGTTTATGTGATTGGCATTCAAAGTCCATTTCATCATCATTGGATTCTTCGGGTTGTTGATCATCAGTTTGGTCAGATGTTTGAACTATTGGTTTGTTTTGGTTTGTTGTTTGAACTATTGGTTGGTTTTGGTTTGATGTTTGAACTATGGGTTGGTTTTGGTTTGTTGTTTGGGTTTGGTTTTTTTGAACTGATTGTGAGGAGAATTAGTCTCCGCACACGCTAAGACAGATAATAGGGGGGCCAAGGGGGCCGAGGAGGCGCGAGAGCGGCGACAGGGCGTGAGCAGCACCGGCCAATCATTAGGTGGCCGCAGGAGATGGGCCACGGACCAATACGAGCGGGGAGGGGCAGGATTCCATCATCGAGTGGCTAAGACGGAATCAACGTGGAACATAACGGTTCCCGGAGCAGCAACAGACGAATGGAAAGGCAAGGTTTCATCACCCAGTGGGAAGACGGAGTCAACGTGGCACGTAACGGTTCCCGAGGCACCAGTGAACGAATGGAAAGTCAGTGAGGGCGGTGAGGGGCAGAGCTCCATCATCGAGTGGGAAGACGGAGTCAACGTGGAACGTAACGGTTCCGGGAGGGGGCGGTGAGGGGCAGAGCTCCATCATCGAGTGGGAAGACGGAGTCAACGTGGAACGTAACGGTTCCGGGAGGGGGCGGTGAGGGGCAGAGTTCCATCATCGAGTGGGAAGACGGAGTCAACGTGGAACGTAACGGTTCCCGGAGCACCAGTGAACGAATGGAAAGTCAGTGAGGGCGGTGAGGGGCAGAGCTCCATCATCGAGTGAGAAGACGGAGTCAACGTGGAACGTAACGGTTCCGGGAGGGGGCGGTGAGGGGCAGAGCTCCATCATCGAGTGGGAAGACGGAGTCAACGTGGAACGTAACGGTTCCGGGAGGGGGCGGTGAGGGGCAGAGCTCCATCATCGAGTGGGAAGACGGAGTCAACGTGGAACGTAACGGTTCCCGGAGCACCAGTGAACGAATGGAAAGTCAGTGAGGGCGGTGAGGGGCAGAGCTCCATCATCGAGTGGGAAGACGGAGTCAACGTGGAACGTAACGGTTCCCGGAGCACCAGTGAACGAATGGAAAGTCAGTGAGGGCGGTGAGGGGCAGAGCTCCATCATCGAGTAGGAAGACGGAGTCAACGTGGAACGTAACGGTTCCGGGAGGGGGCGGTGAGGGGCAGAGCTCCATCATCGAGTGGGAAGACGGAGTCAACGTGGAACGTAACGGTTCCCGGAGCACCAGTGAACGAATGGAAAGTCAGTGAGGGCGGTGAGGGGCAGAGCTCCATCATCGAGTGGGAAGACGGAGTCAACGTGGAACGTAACGGTTCCCGAGGCAACGGTGAGGACATGAGCCCACCGCGCAGCTGTGTTCAGAATGTGCGACAAGACTTGTAGCAGCAAAGGAGCAAGGAGCAACGAGGGAGGCGAAGGAGGCCAGCGGCACATCGCATAGCAACAACAGGGGTCAGCGGCCGAAAGGAAAGGGGCAACGGCCGCACGGACGGCCACCTGCCAGCGGAAAAGTGGCGTGAGATTGGAAGCAGGAGTAACGGCCGCCGGCCAGCGAGAAAGTGGCGTGTTATTGGAAGCAGGAATAACGGCAGCCCGACAACAGGAAAGTGGCGTGATCTGTGAAGCAGAATCCAGGAGGATTAACGGGCGCTCCAGAGGGTCTGGTCTCTTCCAGAGAAGAGGCCCATTGGAGCGGCTCGGGACGAGTCTTTTTAGGAAGCTTGTAGCGTTGAGTTGGAGGACTGCCTGTGGAGAGTCCGCCATTCAAGTGTTAGAGCGTTTCTAAAAGGATTCGGTTGGTTTGAGTTGAAGGACCGCCTTTGGAGAGTCCAACAGCCAAACGCAAGGAGAACGAACAAGACGAGAAAGGATCTGTACTGGGACCGTTCCTTGGAAAGACCTAGGCGACAGTAGACAAGTTGGACCGGTTCCTGGCCCCGGCAGGTAGCCTTGCAAGGAAGTGAGGGAAGGATAAGTCTGGCGCACGCCACTCTGACTCCTGACTCACAACCAACAGGCGTGGTCCTGCAACGGAAAGGACAGGCCAACTCAGGAGCCCGAGCCCGGTTTGCTCCAAAAGACGCAAAGGACAGAACGAGAAAGTATCGGTGTCGGTCGGTTTCCTCGACAGCTATAGGGTATCAGAGTCGAGTTGGGCCATTCCCGGTCAAAGCAGGTAGCCTTGCAAGGAAGTGAGGAAAGAATAAGTCTGGCGCACGCCACACGGATTCCTGACTCGCAACCAACAGGCGTGGTCCGACCATAAGCCGACTCGAGAACTCGCGCTCATTTAGGAACGCGATCGGGGAAGCGCCGATCACCCACCGAGCAGCTCTTGATCTGCTGGGTATATGGGTATAGAAAAAGGAAAATGGCCGATCCACAGAGTGAGACACAAATGCAATGAATGCGGACCGGTGCGGAGAATGGAAATGAGATGAGAGTAAGCAGGCAGACAGGTGTGTAAGCGATCACTGACTCACTCACATGCCAGCACATACACATTCAGCACACACATACACTAGCACCTGTACACCGGCACTTTTCCACTTAAAAGTCTAAAATACACACACACACTGATCTGATCAAATACAATTTTTCCGTTATCTGTCCTATTGAAACTACCTTTCAATTTTTTAATTTTAGTTAATCGCTTTTCATCATCCTAATCTAATCTAATATGACACTTCACTTGATTTGCATATAGATTACTAACCAGTAAACAATTTATGAGTACCTTTGCTGCCAACGCCGCAACACCCTCACCAATACACCGACTGGTTACTAATGCTGCTGCCGCTGCTGCTGCCACACACAACACAACACAACTACGGTTCACTTGTATTCACCTCTGTCCGATCCGATCACTGCTCAAACTACTGCTCAAACATCGACCAATGACCACTGACTGCTGATTGACTACTAAGCACCGGACCAATTTTCCAATTTTTTGTTTTATTGTCGATTTATGATTCAGGTGTTTACATTGTTTCCTGCTTATTTTAGACTTAAGCTTGACAAATTCTTAAAATCTTATTCTAGTTTATGTGTACCCTGCGCTTGAAGCTTTTAAGGGCTAAGGCACTTGATGGCTTTTTAGTATAACATTATGTTGAAGTAATTAAGGTTTTATGATTTTTGTACTTATAGTGGTAGTTGTGGGAGAAAAAGAAAATGAGAAAAAACCCACATCGTATGGTGTTTGGGATGAACTTATAACTAACTTAAATTAATTAGGGACTAATAGGGGAGAGGATATATTTACATAGGATAGGATAGGATAGGAACTTAGACTAATTCAGTAATAACTAGTTAAGTAAAAGTTGAGAGTTTTTTGCGTTTTTTGATTATCATTAAGATTAGATAAGATTAAACTATGTTATTGATTGGTGTTATGTACAAGGCCGTCCAGCGGATTGAGGGATCGGTATTTCCTGTGGTAGAAAATTAGGTTATTTTCTTCATCATATAAAATCCTCTTATTTTGTAGGTCTCTTTGGTGGTGAACAGTCAGCAGCTCTGTGTTTCCTGGGGTGATGTTTTCTTGGGTTATGTTATTGGTGATTATAAAATTATTGAGGATTTTAAATATAAGTAGATCTATCCTCGTTACATTTGCTTTTTGGTAGAGAAGACTGTTATTGATGAAGTTCCTTGTTTCTTGATCTCGTTCTAGTTGGCGAAGTTTCTCCATCTGATTGCTGCTGATGTTCATCCAGGCAATGGATCCATAAATGAGAATGGGTTGTATGAGTTTTTTATAGATGAGAAGTTCTTTTTTGGTAACAAGGTACTTGGTTCTAGGATCACAGTTTGGGCTGGTCGTATATATTGGTTTATAAATGTGACTTAGAGTGAGTTGGAGAATATAAAGTTATTAGCGGCAAGTAGTGCATGGTTTGTTGAAGACTTGCCAGACTCCATATTGGTTATGTTTCAGAATGCTGTTCGAATTGATGTGTTTTTCAATTTGATTATAAATTATTTTTTTGAGGAGTAGGCTTATTGCTGACAGGAGTGAAATTGGTCGATATGAAGTAAGTTTCCGAGGATTTGCGCCGGGTTTAGGTATTGGGATTACTTTGCTTAGTTTCCAATAGGTTGGGAAGTAGTTATTATTTAGGCAATGATTTATGAGAATAGTAATGTGTAGTATGATTGGTATGTTGAAATTTTTTATCAGAAAGTTGCATGTCTTGTCTGGCCCCATGGATTTTTTTGAATGTTTTCCTTTGATTGTATCCATCATTTCAATTGGGTTTGTTAGGCCATATTTGACAGCTTCTTCCCATTGGCCATCCGCTGTCCAAATATTGTTGAATTCGGTTCGGTGTGTTGTATCATTAGGGAACTCTTGGGTTGTAATGTTGTTTATTTTGGATATGTGGTTTTGGATTTCTGGGTCTGGATGAGGTGACGGATGCTGAGGCATTCTTTGGTTGCTATTTTGGGATTTAGCATTTTAAGGTATTTATTGCTGATTTTACTTGAGTGAATTTTCTTTAGCTTATGGTTTAGTTCCTTTAGTTCGCTGAGATGTATGTGATTGGTGATTTGTATGTCTATTTCTTTAATGGTTGATTTAATGTCCTTGATTTGTGCGCTGGTTAAGGTGTGCCTGTTAAACAGAATTTTTCGGAGTCTCCTTTTGTTGCGCATTAGTTGAAGACATGTTTTGTTGAGTTTTATTGCTTGGTTCTTCGATTTCGTGGCTGCTTTGGGTATTACTCTGTCTGATTTTAGGCCCATTTCGACGGCAGTGGTTAGTGTTTTGATATGTTGATCTATTTCGTCTGTTGTGATGTTTCTATTTATAGGTATTGTTTCTAAGTTCCGTAATATTGTGCTGTTCCATTCAATGCTATTTATTTCAGTGAGTTTGTATTTGGATTTGGGCATTTTTTTTATGAGACGGTTGTTGTGGAGGTTTATGGTGAGTTCTATTGCATGATGGTCGGATGGAAAGTCCTTCACTCTTTTTCATCCGTTTGTAA